ACAGTTTATGCAGCAATAACTTGTACCCGCTGTCTAAATCCGTTTGCTCTAGTTACCATCATTAGCCTAATCTTTTGGTAAAGATCATATTAAACCTTAGTCAAATTTAAATTTCTTGTAAGAACATGTAGCTTAAACCAACATACAGCTTTCAATCGCCAAGATTTTCGTTTTAAAACCAAATCCAACAAAAACACCATAAACACACTAAAATTTCAGATTTCAAACCCTTGCAAAATCACAAGCAGAGGCAGTGATTTACAATTACCGAAAATAGTGATTCTAGAACTTCTTAATTACTTTCCCAGAAATTATTTTTTTAGCAAATTGTAGCATATTAGGAGTTATTTCTAAAACCATCCACCAAACAACCAAGCATGAAAATATTCGAGATCATCAAACACGCATACAACATATTTCCAAGCCATAGATCTGTAAACCAAATCTAAACCGAAACACAATCCTTCCCTTTTTTCTAGTTCAACCACCCCAATCATATTAACCCGAGTTTAGGACAACCTTACCCAGATCGGTCCATTTCCAATAACTGCATCAAAACCAAAGTAGAGGTCAGAATAGATTAAAGAGGTGATAAACCGAAACAAAAAAAAGATCTCACCCGCCTTAGCTGTCGTCAAACCACCGCCACGTTCGTTGCCGGCGGATTTTGGGTCCGGCGACATCCTCTGTTTCTCCTCCCCATCGAAGCCAGAGACCCGAAAAACCCCAGAAATCCAAAACCAACACCAAATTCAGAATAGAATCTCAAGTAATACAAACAGAAAGCCATGAAATAACATGCAAGCAAAATCCCTACCTGGATCCACATGCATCCAGCCGATTGAGGTCGATTCTGGTCGCCTTTCTCGCTGTCGTCTTGCCGCGGTCGTACGCGGCTTGTCGTGAGCTTTTTGCTCTCGTTTCCTTGAGGCAGAGGCGAGAAACAGAGAGGTCGAAAAGAGGAGAGGATGTCGGCGGCAAGGCTTGGCTAGGGTTTCGCTTCTCTCTGTGAGTGAAGAAAAGAGGCGAAAGTTAGAGAGAGTTGAGAGAAGAACGAGAGAGAGAGAGAGAGAGAGAGGTGAGCGGCGGCCGATTTGGTCTATTAGGGTTAGGTTTTGCTTTTTTTCGTGTAAGACGTTTATATATCTTTCCAGAAGACCGAAATGCCCTTAGGCTTTTCAGCTTATTTCGCAGCCATGCCACCGCGTTTTTGTGGAATTACCAAAATACCCTTCCCCTTCTCTGCATTAAAACGAAAAATCCTTAGAGCAGGTTTCGAACCCGCGTCCGTTTGATTGAGCGCGATGTACTGCTGGCGTATTGGCCAGTTGAGCTGCCGGCTATACATTTACAAATAAATCATTCTAGTTCATTTTATCATTTAATATCCTTAATACGAAATGTAGAATTGCGGATTAAATTTATCTCGTTTCTTTTCTAATACATCAAATCTCATCTTAATAACTGATATCCTTATATTATCTTTTCATAATTTCATAATATCAACTTAAATTTTATTAACAATAAATTTTGATAACGAAACCACGATCAGCGGAACGTGGTGATACTTTTATTTAAAATTATCAAAGTCCTAACGAACTACGCGGACTTTGATCCCTTCTAACGGGTACGTAGGCAACCGATAAGGTTCGAGTCCAACTAATCAACCAGCTTTATCTTTAAATTTTTACGTCAGTGGGCGTATAATTAAATTACAACTAATACGATAAAATCATTAAATGGTCCAGTGGGACCCCAAAAATACAAAATCATTACTAAAATACACCCAACTCGCAGAAACTTATCAAACTTAAGTAGTACCGATTTACGGCGTTGTGGGGGTGTTGCTTAACTTCCCCACACGTAACCGTACTCCCGAACCCATATCTCTTAACCGCAGACCATATCTCGGTTCTGACCCTAAGGTTAGAGCCGATTCGAAGAGTGTTCGATCCACTCCAAATAAGATCGATGGCGACTCCCAAAAATGCCGACGCGACGACATCGGGCCCCCGGAGGGACGGTTGCGACACGACCAATGTGCTCCCATGGAATCCAGTTATCTTGCCATTTCTCAAAAGGGCACAGTTGGATTTGATTAGGTATTTTGTAGGCATAAAAGTCGATCGCCAACTCATCACCGCATTGGTGGAGAGATGGAGAAAGGAGACACATTGTTTCAACTTTCGCGAAGGAGAGTGCACCATCACGCTAAAGGACGTCGCCATCCTAACCCATCAGCCATCGACGGCAAAGCGGTGTGTGTGAGTGATCATCCTCCCGAGGATCGTGACGGTATGTCCGGTTGGCAGCATTTCATCCACAGTGTTTTGGGGGTGAAAGTACCAACCAAGGGGAGCATTGATGCGACGGATCGCTTGCCACCATTGAGGAAACACCAAGTATCAATCACTTGGTTGACGAAGTATTTTAGGGACCTTCACGATCCTGCCAAAAATGTGGTGCCCCTAACCGAGGAAAGTCCGGAGCTAGAGAAGGAAAGATATGCTCGTGTCTATCTCATAGGCATGGTAGGAGGAGTGTTCTTCTCCAAAAAATCGAGCAATTTAATTATTTGTGGATGGCTTAGGATCCTCCTTGGTAGTTGGGATGAGATGGGGGGAGTTGAGCTGGGCATCCGCTTGCCTAGCTAATATCTACCACCATTTGTGCAATGCATCTCTCAAAGCTGTGAGGGAGGTCAGCGGCGCAATGTTCATCGTCCAATTTTGGGCTTGGGAGCATCTGCCATGGATTGCACCGCTTTAAATGTCCTGACAGGAATTGGGGTCCCACTCAAATGTCCCCACTGGAAATCAGGAGAGTGCCCTTGTACTTGTCGGTAAGGAATGTACCATCCACTTGGATCACAGGGACACAGAAGTCAAAACCATCAATAGATTGCTTGAATGCCCAAAAAAGTCGTCTGAAATGGCATTTGTTACCTGGCTCTAGCGGTTGTAGCTCTTCATCTTGGCATCGAGGGGAGAAAACAGTGTCAGGGTTAGACGCCTCCAATGCCAAAATCAACCTGGGAAGGAATGCATATGATTCTTCCCAATCACCAAATACGGCGGCCAAAACTTTCTGCTTTCCATGCCACGCCTTCTTATAGTTAATCATATAACCACAACGACTTGCAATGTTAGCAGTTATGACTTTCACCTTCAGGTCAAGATCTTGCTCAATTAGATGCTTGATAGCCGCAGCAACCACGCTGGATTTCAACTGTCAATGACCTTGGGATGTTATGGATGACACACATGTGTGTGTGTTCACCGCACGGGATATGACCCAATGGTCGTGTCTCTTGCTGTTGATGGCCCGAATCCTAACATTGCATCCCTCGTTATGATTACGACATCCGACTATGAGCCTTTTCGTGTTGGAATGAGTTGTGTGCCATTCAAAATGCCGAGTCATTGCTTCAGTATCAATGGCGTGCCGCACCTCCTTCTTCGAGCCAAATTGTTGGCCCTTCATACCCAGTGAGTGGACCCCATACTGGAACCTCTGGGGGTTCCATGTCGCTGTCGACCATCCAATTGCCGTCTGGAATGTGATTGTAGTAGGGGACTGGTACACGGTCATGAGCCACCTCATCATCATTATCTGACTCTAACTCTGGTCCTGAATCATCAACACCTTCAAGAGGGTCGGAGCTGTCTGCACTGACGTTGTTCTCTCCTTCTTCATCGGAGGGGTCACTAACTGGTGCTGGCAGGGCATCTTCCATCTGATCCAGCTCATGAAAGGCACCTTCATCAGCTCCATAATGGTATTTGTAAAAACTACCGCTGCATGATTGGAAGTTGTACTGAGGTTGGTTGGCATGGTCCGGTTGAACTTCTTCTTCATATGACGGGAAAGATTGATGATGACCTTCACCTTGCTCTTGGTACTGAAAATAGGAATGCGGATCATGGTAACTTTGGTAGGGATGATCTCCATATAATTCACCTCCACCATGGATACCAGATGTTTGACCGTCTCCAGAATGACCTCCAACGCCTACGACCGCCTCGGTGTAAACGAACATCTCGGCTTTGGAAAGATTGTTGGACCTCAAGAATTCGAGCATGGCATCTACTTCATCCTGAGTGGTTATGAGATATTCCTCGTGCCACAACGACCTGCCTTCTCTGTTTGGATATCGGTACACCATACGATCAACTCTTCTCGTGTCATCCATGCAAGTAACATTAGTATACATTTGATAGAGGTCTTCAAACATCAGTCTGGTAGCGACCTTTATTTTATGAAAATTGCCACCGACGTAGGTGACCCCCTTTCCGGTCTCTTCCGTGTAACCATTCCACCGTAACCCAAGCGTGAACTTTTGGAATGCCATCTGCAAAAAAATCGTAGTTCAGTTAATATCATAAAAATCACAATAAAAAGTAATACAAAATAAACTTACGAGTTAACGTTAACTGCAAAAACACTAAAGAAGTAAGGAGCTACAACAGAAAATTGAAAAGAGAGAAGGAGAGGTGTGAAGAGAAGAGGTTTCCCGGGGTGTCGTTTATAGGCAAAATCATCAATGAAAACCGCACGAGGGTGCGGTTTTCATCTGCCCTGCAGCCCCACGTCTGCCAACCTGCATGGCAAAATGTTTGATGTCGGAAAATAATTACGACACACAAACCGCATGGGGGGAGGGTGCGGTTTGTGTGGGCAAAATCGCACTTTGGGGGTGCGATTTTGCTAGGTCAGGCCAAAAACCGCACCTAGGCCATGCGGTTCTGTTAGGTCAGACCTAGAACCGCATGGCCAAGATGCGATTTTGGCCCAGAATCTTAAACCGCACCTTGGGCGTGCGGTTTACATATAAGAAATTACAAAAATTAACACCCTTTTTAAAAAACAGTGAAAAAATTACATATAGATTGGATGATTTTTTTTTTATTTGTTTTTTTTTAAATGTACTATTTATGAAAAAATCCTCTATGTTTTTCTTTTTAAGACCGGTCGGTCTATGGAGCTGCTGGCAGAGGAGCCCTGATAGAGGTGTTGAATACGCGGTCGTTGGATGATTCCTACGTCAACTCACCGTTTGGTCTAGATTATTCTGGAACCCCGACGGCAGAGGCAAATCCGGCTCTAGCCTGCGCGCCTTTTGCTGGAACGCTATTCGTGGTCGCGCGACCTTTAACCCCCTGGGAATCTTGTCCCTCTTTCCTCTCTCGTTTTCCATCCGCCTCTCCGCCGACGAATCGCAAACCAGGCGGCGAGGTTTCATCCGCTCCCGTTAAAGAATCAATCAGGTCAGGATTTTTCCTTTCTCTCGCGACCGATTCATTTGGAATCTCAGCGGAACCCATCTCGTTACCCATCGTGATTGCTGGGTTAATTATTGCTTCGATCTCAGCAATCATGTCTGTATATGGTTTTGTTGGCGGAATTTCCTCTAGATTTAGGACTAGACAGCCTTTGTTTGGGATGATGATTGAAGTTCAGACTGTATGGCTTCTCTTCCTTGGCTGTGAAGATTTTGAACGAAGGCTTGAGCTTCGAAGTGTATGTGCTGTATACCTTTCGTGTTAGGAAACCCTAGAAGGTGTACTGTTGAGATGTCATTGGGAGCTTTACTTAGGTTCTATGAAAATGGAATCAAGTTTTTTACGCATGAACTTGATTTGGCCCTGAGGAAATCTTCTTTGAAGGAAATGGCGGCTTGTGGATTCTTCTTTATCCTGCATGCTATTTCTTGTCTAGTTGGGATACATATTTGACCGAAGTCAATCGACGAGGGTTGCAGTTAGAGGATTTGATGACTGATTTTGACATCCAAATGTCTTCATGTTCTTATTAAATGTGCTCAAGGGAGTACCTGAAGCTCAGTAGGCTTTATAGCTTTTTTGTGCTGGTAAACTGCATTCTATCTGTGCTGATTTTGATTGTCTGTTATATTATTTTTAATTTTTAAGATACCTGGGCAGAGCCAGCATATCATGGCAGATCACCACCCCAACGAAGGACCTTCCACAAGCAATGTTTCTGGGGAAACATCTGATTCAAGTGTGCAGCTCAATGTGAAGACTTTAGATTCACAAATTTACAGTTTCCTGGTGGACAAGAAAGTGAGTATTATTTGCTCATGTCTAGTTCTTCATGTTGGGCATATTTGATTTGCTTCGTGCAATATATGGGGCATGTTCATTTCATTCCATCATTATCTGATCTGCAATTAAAGTAGCTGGTTTTCTCAAAGAGTTGTCCAAGTCATTACATTCAAATTCAGCTGTCTAAACTTTGTCAGTAATGTGTAGTTTGTGTTCTTGGCTTGGATGTCTTCAGATGCCAGTTCTAGCTTTCAAGGAGAAAATAGCTAGTCAAGTTGGTGTTCCAGTCAATCAGCAGAGACTGATTTTTCGAGGAAGGGTGTTGAAGGATGAACATCTCCTCTCTGAATATCGTATCCTGTCATCTGTACACTTCAGTTCAGCATGTTACCTTTATTCACAAAAAGTGTTGCGCAGTACCCTTTAGAATTAACCTATATAATGGATAATCCAAATATTAAAGGGTTTCTGGTGTATGTGTTAGGCTTTATCAATCATCTACTGAATTTTTTGAGGTGGTAAATGTTTTAAACATCTACTTGGTTGAGGACTAAAGTAGCTGATACCATTGTTATGTGAAATTGTTTTCTATTTTCATCCACTACGATACAGAGTTCTGATGAAGGTCCTGTAATGAGGGCGATTTTAGTCTTTTGTGCATACAAAGATTGCAGTGCTGTTATTCTGATTTTGCCAGGCAGGGATAGGGTATCTATTATGTGGTGAGTTATACATAGATTGGGAGTATGTTATGTGGTGCATCATTGTTCATATTAGTCATCCATCTACACAGCAAGTATTCTCTGTCTCCCTTGACTGCATTTAGAGGTTGAGAATGGTCATACATTGCATTTGGTTGTGAGGCAGTCAGCACAAACACAACCTTCATCCGAGACAAGCTCCGGAGACGCAAGAGGTAATCCTTATGGTTGATCTTTCTGTGTCGAGGTCTGTTTCTCGGCCTGCTTTGTTGTCAATTGTAAGTAAGTGAAGTTTTGCAGGGAATGATGCTAGTTATGGTGGCCTCGGAAACCGCCCTGGCCAGATTCCACACAGTGTTTTGCTGGGGACATTTAGCGTTGCAGATCAAGGTGACGGTATGGTTCCAGATCTAAATAGGGTATGCAGTTAGCATCTTGCTATAGCCAGGTTCTGAATGCAAATTGTTTGGTACACTCGGGCACAATTGTAGAAACATTTATCTTATTTGTGCTTGAAATGTAGGTTATTGGGTCTGTGTTGAACTCAATAGGGATTGGCGGACTGGCTGGCACTGCTGGCATGGGCAGCATGCAGTTCCCACCTATGGTGAGTTTTATTGGTGCGCTGTAGAAGTACCACATTGCAGGTCTTGTATGCATAGGGTGTAAATGGAGGTTTTATTTTGAATAGTGTGATTGTTTGCGCTTACTCCTGGCACAATTTGAGGGAAGTATTGTATGCAGCCTAATGCTACTAGCCAGACTCATCAAGGTAATGGAACCAGTGGAAATGTTGGTGGTCAGAATCAAGCCGGAAATCCAGCACAGGCGGGTAATACATTCCAATCCCAGCCTCAAGTTGTGCAGATTCCTCTTGCTACATCAGTACCCATTCCTTCATTTCATTCGGTATGCGTTTGACTACCAGGTTGCCTATTTTTTGTTTTGGCAGTGAGATATATCTGCTATTAAAATGACGTCTCCTAATTGGTTTTCTTTTTGAAGCCAATTCCTGATTCTCTGAATACCATCTCTGAATTTTTGAGTCGGATGGAGCAAGTACTTGCCCAAAATGGTAATTGTTGGAAAGCCGTTGCTGTATTTCCCAGCATTAAAATTGTATCCAGAGTAACTAATTTTCTTTTATCTAGGGTCTCAGCAGGGTACCGCTTCAACAACTTCAGGAGTCCCTCCATGGGTTGAGTCACCTTCTAATGTGCAGGGGCTACCTGCACTTGAAGCTTTAAGCACCGTCTTGCGACAAGCCGAAAGGCTTCTTAGTGGGCATGCGGTTTCTTCATTGTCTGTAAGGATCATCTTATTAGCATGTTAAATTTTTCCACTTTGTTGGCTTTGTTACCCCACATTTTTGGATGAAGTTAATGAAAAAAGTTATGTGGCCAGAGAGGTCGTTCAGAGGAACATAAGTTTTCACTTCCTTAGTTTTTCATTCGATAAGGACGTTCTAAATTTTGTGCAATGCTCTAGAATCTTGCAGGACGCCTGGAAGGAGAGGGGACTTCTCCTGATCTCAGTATCAGGAGCCAAATCCAAACAGAAACTGTGCAATCTGGTCTTGCAATGCAACATCTTGGTGCACTGTTTTTGGAATTGGGCCGCACATTGTTAACATTCCGTATGGGGCAATCTCCTGTAAGTGTGTTCTTTCTCTGTTGCTTTCTTCAGCTGGTATATGTGCGTTCTCCTTAAAACATATTTGATGAATTGCAGGGAGAGTCCTCTATACACTCTGGGCCTGCAGTTTATATATCTCCATCCGGGCCTAACACCATAATGGCCCAGGTTCGATGCTCTACCCAGTTTATGTTTATACTGTGCATGATGATTGAACTAGCTTTTGCTAATGTGAATTCTTTTACTTTCTATCCAGCCATTTCCTCTGCAAACTCAATCTCTGTTCGGTGGCATTAGTGGCCAATCAAGTGCTGTTCCATTTGCTCCTGTTGGTGTTGGAAATGCCCCAAGGCATGTAAATATACACATACATGCTGGTAAGCAATATAGGATTTGGCATTTCATATCAGACTGGTCCTTTTTAGTCAACTGACACACTTTTCTTAGGCACAACAATGGCATCTGTTCTACCGACAATGGGTGTCAGGGCAAATAGTGGCGAACCTGGAACTGCCCAAGGGAGGGTACCTGGCAGAAGCGCTGCTGCTGCAGTGCCTGCACAAACTCGTGGGATTCCAGTCTCAGATACTGCACAACCAGATAGAGGTGATGTAGCACCTGATTTGGGACACATGTCTTCTATGGTTTCTTCGATCAATTCTAGGTTGAGAGATCTTATGGCAAATTTTCCAGGACAGCCAATAACTGTACCAGGTAAGCATTCTACTGGACGGGAACAATTAGAGTTCAATTTCCTCACTGTTATAACTGAAATTATCTGAAATACTTGTAGGATCTGAAGAACCTGCTGCTGGTACTGCTATTGGTGGAGAACAACAACCTGCATTGGCCACTGATCGAGCTGTTGAGTCAAGTGGGTCCTTGCCTGATCTCGTATCTGAAGGTGACACTAAGAAGGTATACTCTTTTTTGTGCACAGTTTAGGAATCTTTCTCTTGCTCTTTTCCTTCTATTTCTGGTCTTGTGCTAAATAATTAGGGAATCACAGATGCAAGATGAAAATGTGCAAATCAACAAGAATGAGGAGAAAAATGATCTTAATACTTCCGTTAAAGATGTGTCCTCTAGTTCAGTGGGATCTTCACTGAAGAAGGAAGAAGCTTCTGAAAATGTTCCAAGTGCTAGTGCAAGACATGATCCTCCAGAGGGTGCTAAGGCTGCCCCTCTTGGGTTGGGTTTGGGGAGTTTGGACCGTAAGGTATGACAACATTTTTTCTAATTGTCTATCGTCAGTAATCTTATCCATTCTATTCGCATTGGACTTCTTAGCTTTAAATAGAACACGAGAGAGATAGTAATATCGCTGCAAGCCTAAGACTAACTCCAACTCCAAAAGCTATATTTAGCCTCCCAAGCTCTCAAATGTGCATATTTGCCTCCCCAAAACACCTTTTTGCTCCAACTCTAAAAGCTTCCAAATTTAGCTTCCCACATTTTTTTTGATTTAATTTCCATAATCCATACTTATTTACAATATCATTCTTGTAATTCACTTTAATTTTTTTATAGTTTGTTATTACTTGTGAAAACAAAATTTTCGATGTAATTTTTTTTTAATTCCGAGATAAATTTTTTTTTTGCAAAATTAGTCATTTTTTATGGCCGTTAAAATGTGTCCGTTGCAATGTGACCGTTTTATTGTCACTATATTACTTCTTTCAAACTAAAACGCAAACACACCCACACAAACTAAAACGCAAACATACCCACACAAACTAAAACGCAAACACACCCACACAAACTAAAACGCAAACATACCCACACAAACTAAAACGCAAACACACCCACACAAACTAAAACGCAAACAAAAAAAAAAAAAAAAGCAGCAGCAGGGGACCACGCGTGCAGGCGAGGCCCAACCGCGGGAGGCGCGCCTGGGCCGCACGCGCGCGGGAGTTTTCCAGCTGCTATATTTGCCCCCTTTCCCCCTTCCAGCTGCTACCTATCCACCCCAACACCCCAATCTCCAAATTTGGAAGCTAAGTTATTGATGGGTTGGAGATGAAAAAAGGCAAAATATAGCCTTTCTCCAAATTTGCAAGCAAGGGTTGGAGTTAGTCTAAGTCTTATATATTCCCTGTGGGAAAAGAAGACACCTTGTGGTTAGAAACTCGTTTTATGCTTTAGGATTATGCAAATTGACCACGTTCCTCCAAAAGGCTGAATGGTAATCAGGTTATTAGGTTATTCAGTTGCTCTGCTTTACACATTTATATGTATATTTCCCTTGCCATCTTCATATGTACAATTTGTTTCAAATTCTGAAACGTGAGTGTCGATATTGTTTGTGATCCTAGAAGCGAGTTAAGCAGCAAAAACCCTCAGCCACTACAGATGGCACCCAAATAGCACAGCAACTCTTACAGACACTTAGCTCCCGAAGCTCCGCTCCTATCTCAGCTTCAACAGATGCGCCCTCAGGTCAAACCACTCTACCCGTTGTCGGGATCCGTGAGGGCGTAGCAGACCATGACTCTGATGTACAGGTCGATGCTGCTACTGCCATGTCGCAAGCTCTACGAAGCCCTGGTTTTGATAATTTGTTGGCAGGGGTCTCTGAGCAGACTGGTTTCGGTTCTCCCGATATCCTGAGAAACATGATGCAGGGGCTCACTCAGAATCCCCAGATCATGAATGCTGTCAGTCAAATCGCTCAGCAGGTTGACACCCAAGATATTGGGGACATGTTTTCTGGTGCCGGGAGAGGCCAAGGTGGTGGCGGTTTTGATCTCTCGAGGATGGTTCAACAGATGATGCCTGTTGTTTCCCAAGTTCTGGGGCAAGGATCTGCTGCGCCACGAGCATTCCCAATCCCACAGCCTGTGCCTGAAAGGATTACGTCTCGAGAACCCAGTGATCAGAGTGTTCAGGTATGCTCTGTCTAACTCTCTCTGGAAGGTAAAACCTTAATCTGAAATGCTCATTTTCGCTATGTTATCCTGTTTTACAGATGGACCTGCATGCTGTGACTCAGAGAATTGAGCATGGTGATGCACCTGAAGACATATTTCGTGCCATGGCCGAAAATGCATCTAGGTTGAGTGGCAATGATGGTGCAAGTGCACAGGATTTGAGCAACAGTGAGGATCTAGTCAATGTAAGTTTCGATCAGAATTTAATTTTATTGCATTCTGTGTATCCATGGATTGAATTATTGGTGTCTTTCTTGTTATCATCTGTCAAAGCTCGTTCTTTTTGTTCTGGATGTGGTGCAGGAATATTTGGAGTTACTACGCCGGGACATAAGAAGGCGTTGTGAGGGTGACTCTGATTGAGGCAGTTGTTGATCTCGTTCGTTAGGCAAGGAACCTTGAACATATCTGTTTAGGTTCAACCAAAATCCGTGGCCTTGCTTTGCTTAACTGAACTAAACTAGAAGCCTTTTGATGATACGGTTAGGCTCCAGCCCCCTGGGTATTTAGTTTATTAGATTCCAGTCGTGGTATGCTTTTGGATTGGCTGTATAATTTCAGCACGATACAAGGTGGAGAGGGTTGGCAGCCATTTCGTTTTAAAAATGCTTGAAGCTGTTTGTTTGATAGTATTTTGATCGATCTTTTGCTGCAAATTCTTTTCGGTTGTGACGCAACACGAGAACTGGAATTCGATCGAATAGACTCGAGCTTCCTTGTATTCACTACTACTTTTGGTTCCAACATAACCTGCCTTTTGGACACCAATTCAGCCATGGAAATAGATTTCTTCACATATATTCTTAGCCACCGAGTTGATTTCGAAAATTGGAATCAAACTAGATTATAATCTCAGATCATGTTTGTCTAAAATTGAGCCGAAAAGCACTTCAGTATTGCTGTGGTAGCATTTGTCCGGTTAAACCAAAGCGGATTCATCGCCATCCGATCAACATTCCCTTACGTGGCAAAAGATAACAGCTGCGTCCTCATGGGATAATAGTGTGCCGCCGTCGCACCCGATGTAGAGGAGCAAACCGTCTATATTTACAGGTCCGGCCCACAATGACAAAAGGGGATTTTCGATTTTCATCCCCTCAGCTCTCTCTCACAGCAGCTAATCAGAAATCAGATACCGATGGCTTCCCATGGTTCGGCCGTCGACGCCCAAGGCTCCAGACGACCACTGGGGTTTCTAGCCAACGCGATCAAGAGGAAACACAGCTTCATCCAGCTCGGCGCCATGACCGGGATTCTGCTCCTGAGCGTCAGGTCGCTGGGGCAGAAGTACCGCATCCACGACCTCGAGGACGACACGGCGGCTCTCAGGGAGGAGCAGCAGACGCTTGCCGACCGTATGAAGACCATCAAGGAAGCTTTGCTGCGGGAAGCGTCGCTCGAGCCTTCCGGCCGCTTCGCTTCTCGACTCCGCAGTCTCTTCGGCGATGGAGATTCGAACTAGCGTCGCGACTATACACGGTAGCTCTATCTCGCGATCCTCTGCTGTGAGTCTTTTGGTTTCCTCGGTTCTCTTATTTTTGGATTGGTGGTGGAAATGGAGACTAGTTGAGCTGGAGTGCTGGACTTCTTTTTTCAAATAACAGAAAGTAGTGGAATGCCTATTATCATAATAATGAACAACTGTTAGGCCAGACTTATGTTTAGTAGGAACTAGGAAATGTGTAGTTGCAGACTCGTTAAGACATGTGGAATTGCACTTTTCAAGCTTGTGTGGTGTCAGCTGAATTCGGCCAAGAGTTGTAATTGTTTGGCTCATGAGAATGATGAACAAACGCTAGGACAGACTTCTGTTTGATGGACTTGGTAGAAAATTTGTTGTTGCAGACTCTTCAAGATGAGTGAAACCGAAGTTTTCAAGCTTCCGTAACTTGAATTCGATAAAGAGTTCTTACTTTCTGTTCTTTGTTTGGCTCCTTGAGCTTGGGATATAACCATTTTGTGGACGGAGATGGTGCACAATGTGCTGTTTGGTTTCACTTGCAATTGTCTGATTACATCATTTTCTCATAATTAGCATCCAGTCTATGGGTTGGATGCACCGACTGTGGTAATTTCTTTGCTGCATGTTATGGAAATGGTACTCGGTGGATGTTTTTCGGTGTGCACAATGTTTTTCTCATGGTTGTTCTGATTGAAGCGATTTGTGAATCAAAAGTATTTCCTCCCATTAAGAGCAGGATATAGAGTTTGCAAGACTGTTAGAGATGAGAAACTTGGTATAATAATAGGCATTTCTTTGTGGATCACCAACTCATGCTAGGAGCTGATTGATATATAGTAGCCGTTCTTCAACTGAAAATACTTTCAAGGAACTTAGATTTCGAGCTGTGGTTTTTAGTTCCGCTTCTCATCTTGAGTTCATTTGGAGTTGCTTGAAACTCGCTTGATATCTTTTGTTGACACAGCTCGCCACAACTACCAGACTCTCGGGATTGTTTTCGAGTTATTGATCTAGCGAAACGATTTTGTAGTGTGTGTAACAATGCTTGCATGCTGGATATGGTTTGTTGTTGGAAGGTCTTAATCAGTCAACATAGGAAGGATTCTCATTGCTCAACTTTGACTGTGAATGTTAGAGGCCATAGTCTGATTCTCTTCACGATTCGTGAAATGAAAACCACTTACTGGATAGGTCGACTTCAGGTAAGGTAAGGGAGAACTAGACAGAGCAAAATTATCCATCCATTACGGGGCATTAAGGTTGGAGAGATGTACACACAAGTAAAATCTAGAGTTCGATTGACACTGCAAAGTAGGGATGGCAATTTACCCACCCATGGGTAATTTTGCCCAAACCCAACTAGACCCATTTATTATGGGTAGGGTTTGGGTGATGTGAGTATGGGTTTGGGGTTTGTATATGGATTTGGGTTAGATATGGATATTATCTAAATGGGTATGGGTTGGATATGGATATCCATTTACTTGAGGGTGTTTTAACTACACATGCAAAAATTGGACTTATTTGTAAAACTTGAAAATTTTAGGTACCAAAATGTAAGACCAAAAAATTTTAGGTACCAAAACGTAATTTTCCATCGATATTTTGAGGACTTATCTGCAAAAAAAATTAAATTTAGGTACTAAATATGCATATCTATTAAGTTTAGGTACCAAACTGTAATTTGTATTTGGGCATGGGTACAAACCCAAATCCATTTGTTATAAACCCAACCCAACCCAAAGTAAATGAGTATGGGTACAAACCCATCAAACTTTACCCATATCCATATATTTGGATTTCATACCCAACCCAATTGGGTTGGATAGTAAAATACCCATGGGTATGGGCAAAATTGCCATCCCTACTGCAAAGTGCGGAAGTAGTCTATTATGTCTGCCTAGTCGAGTATCATCTGACTCGATCGATTTGTGCTAGGATGTGTATTAATCGAGTTGCAGTTCTGTGGGAGCACAGGTATTATTTTTGACTTGCACCTCTCCGCCCTGCCTATTTTTATTTTTACTCATCCTATCTTGATTTACCTCAATATCTATTTAGATGTCTCATATTTTAACTTTCTTCAATCATATTTTCAATGAAACTTCTAATAGATGCAAGACTTTAATTTTCAACTAATTATATCAATTATTCCTCTATTTCCCATTTTTCATTCATAAGTGTTCTCATTTGCTCTATTATAACAAAATAATTTTTTCTTTTAGTTTCTTCAGATAACATGTGAAAATGAGTCAACTTGTCCCGATCTCTACCTGTACGTGTATTCTTGACCCGATCCGAGCTTGGTGTGGGGCAAGTATGGTTATTAAGATACCCACCCCCATTGCCACCACTGCTTACGTCGTGTTGCTAGTGTTGCTAATTGTTCGGACTTCCTAATACTAGCCAATTAATCATCAACCCTTGATTTCCATTATATGGATTTGAACTCTCAAAAAAGGATTTTAATGGAAGTGGCTATGGAGTCTCATACTACACCAAAGATGAAATTCTTCATTTGGAGATGTGCTAAAGAGCTCCTACTACCAATAAAAAAACCTCCGTAGTCATGGATGCTTTGTGACAACTTGGATGAAACCATTCACCACTGTTTTTTCCAATGCAACTATGCACAAGGAAGCTTATAACCACCTTTTTCTGTCCATACCCACCTCAATGTCTCTTTTTGATCCCCCTCAACGGGCTTTTCTTCCTTGGTAACACGATATCTGTGCAATCTATTCAACCTGTCATCTACTTATTTCCTTATGTGAAAGACATGAAACAAAAAAGTGTTTCGCAACTCTCAGCCTTGGCCTCTGTCCACGTACAGAAAAAAATCAAATGACCTACTCCGATGGACCTCCTACCCCAAACACATACAACATCACACTCCTCGTTGTCGGCCCATGACATCCTAAACTCATTCTTCTCCACCATCGAGCAATCTCTCTTTAGAAATTCATTGTGATGAGTCATTTATCAATGAGTTCCATGCTGCGGTTTATTGCGTTGTTAACTTGTTATCATGAATAGCCAGAAGAAATTTACGATGGGATGACTAGCACCCTGCTTTGTTTTTCGCCTATCGAAGCGGAAGCAAATACATTGCTTGAAATGCTTTTTCTGGCTCAACAATATTCTTCTCAATGTTTGATTCACAATAAATAAAAGTCAAATGTTCTAAAAAAAATAAAAGTCAAATGAGAAAACTTGAAGCCACATTTTAAATTTTCCGCATCCAAAGTGAAAGTAGGAAGGGTATATTCGTCTTCACAGTCATTTATTATTTTCATATTTACAAAAAAAAAAAAAAAATACATCAATAATGAGATTTGAAACGTGGCCTCTTTGAACAAAGATAAGAAACATAATCAGTTACAATAAACACATTTGTGTGATCTTTTTCAATTAAAAACATACAGGAAATTTAAATCTGAAAAATCATAGGACTTTTCCACCACGGTTAGCAACCGAAATGTTATTGATTCAAATATTGCATATCAAATTACACTCTTGAATGTGTAGAAGCGATATAGAATTCTTAACATAGACTTAATTGTTATAACTAACATAAAACAACGATATTTTTAAACACAGACTTTGTGAGTGAATATGGGGCACATGTGTCTTTAAGATGGGTAAATATGGAAAGGTTGAGTGATGTTGGTTTTTTCAAACGCGGATGGAAAATACACTACTAATGTAAACGGGCCCAAATAGTGCCCCGACCCACTAAACGCTCAACCATCGCCATCCCTCCAAACTTTCCATCAGACTCAACAACCGGCTAACCTCCTTTACCTCTATTTTTACGTCAGAGCAATTTTTGGAGGGGTAAATATGGAAAGATTGAGTGTTGTTGGTTTGCCCAACGCAGATGGAAAAGGCGCTACTAATGTAAACGAGCCTAAATAGTGCCCGACCTACTAAACGCTCAACCACCCGGGTTACTTTCGCTAGACCAAATATAATAGTGAAATGGAAAATGTGCTTCCCTCATTACAAAATCCTTGCATCCATAGCAAAAGTAGAAAGGGTAGATTCGTCTCACAGATATTTATTATTTTCTTATTAATAGGAAAATACATAAGTGATGAGATTTGAATTGTGATCTCTTTGAGAAAAGACAAGAAACATAATCAGTTACACTAAACAAATTTGTTTAAAATAAATAAATTAAAAGCATACAGATACAAGAAGGTTAAATCTGAAAAATCATAGGAATTTTCCATCACAGTTAGCTAAGCCACTAACTCTTCTCTAAATATTTTTTGATATTTGATACTTCTATTTTCATACTTTGATTATTTTAATTCGAGTTTAATAATTAATTCTATTTTTATTTATCTTATAAAAAGAGAATAATTTTAAAATCGCAAGCCTAATGTCATTGTTGCAAATATTGCACATCGGATTGTAGTATCGAATGGGTAGAAGCAATGCAGAATTTTTGGCATAGACTTAAATAATATAACTACCATAAAGCAACAATATTTGTGAACACAAAAGTTTTGAGTGAATATGAGGCATGTGTGTCTTTAAGAGAGGGTTAAATATGAAAAGGTTGAGTGATGTTGGTTTGTCATAACTAACGTAAACGAGTCTAAATGATGTCCTGACCTACTAAACGCTCAACCATCTCTGTATCTCCAAATCTTCCCACCGGACTCGACAACCGCCTAACCTCCTCCTCCTATATTGTTACGCAAAACAATATTCGGAGGGGTATATATGGAAAGATTGAGTGTTCTTGCTTGGAGAGCTGGCTGGTGGGTAATGTAGCTTCTTTGACAGTAATGTGTGATCACTAAACATCAGTTCATTTGGTTGATCTTCTAGGTTGACTTTTGAGTTGATTAAAGATAAACAGTGTCTCGGGCTCTCGGCCTACTAAACTCTCAACCATTGCCGTCTCTCCAAACCTTCCCATTGGACTCGACAACCGCCTAACCTCCTCCACCTATATTGTTACGCAAAGCAATTTTTGAAGGGGTAAA